TTTGTTTTAATAAAAATATAAGAAGACCAGAGTCAGGAGTATGCATGCAGTTTCTAACCAGATTCTGCTTCCAGAAGCTGTGCACCTACGGGCAGGGCATTCTTCTGTGGACATCTTTTCACTGGACAGTCCCCGATGATATTTGTATTCCTTTCCTCTGGCTTGATCCCTGTTAGAGATCTGGGAGTTCATTATACTGTTTTCATTACTTGGGAGTAGTAAGTTTTCAAACTTCTGTAATAAAAAGTTGCAAATGGGGGCACCTGGGTAGCTCTGTCTGTTGAGCATCCGACTCTTGGTTTTGGCTCAGGTCATGATCCCAGGGGTCGTGGGATTGAGCCCCGTGTCATGCTCTGCGCTGAGCATGCTTGAGGTTCTCTCTGTCTCTGTCTCCCTCTCTCTGTCTGTCTCTGTCTCCTCCTCTCCCTCTCCCTCTGCCCCTCTCCGCTGTAGCTTCATCAAGGCCTACCGTCATCCTTTGCAGGCAGGGCCGCTCAGGGAAGCATTCAGTTTCCAGAGTTAGGGAGGAGCCTAGGTGACATGTGGTCCCACCTCCCGAATCCCATCCTCAGCCTCCCCGGCAGCCCCAGTGCTTCACCCTCCAGGAGCTTGTTACCTGGTGGGGCTGCTCGCTGGGACCGATCCTGGCTCTGTCATCAGAAGCGACAGACTATGACTGATAAGGAACTTGATGCAGGTGAATCCCTCCTCCCCATATGACAGACCATTGGGCTTTTGGTGGTAGTTACGGAATTCCGTCCATTCTTTCCTTCAGGTGGAACATCTCCACTTTAGTCAAGGCTTCCCTCTGTGTGCATGGTTTCGAACTTTCAGTCTCTTAGATCCCTGAATAATTTTGATGTTCAATTAATCCACTGCCCAGACCCCAGATGCTGCCTGACCTGTGCTGAATGTGGTACTTCCTCTTTTCTGTGGCCACAAAGTGCAGGCCTGGTTTGTCTGGCTAGTTGCAAGGGACGTGAGGCAGGTCAGGGAGCTGTCCCCCACAATTCTTTGGCGGGTGGCCATAGGCTGCCTCTCACCGAGGGTCATGTCCAGAGTGAGAGGCACATCACTGCGAGCCCAGCCACCCACTGTTTCGGCCCGTTCGTGCTGCAGTGTTGCAGGGGATGAGTCCAGAACCCCCGAGGCAGAGAACTCTGGGTTCCCAGCTTTCTGGTCTCTTCATCATTCACCTTGAGCAGGTGGGAGCCAGCCTCTCCCAACTGTCATCCCTATCGGCAGGTTACCCCAAAGGCCACCCCGACGCAGGGAGCTTTGAGGCCGACCTGAAGTACTTGAAGGAGAAGGTATCTGCAGGAGCCGACTTCATCATCACCCAGCTTTTCTTTGAGGCTGACACATTCTTCCACTTTGTTAAGGCTTGCAGCGAGATAGGCATTACCTGCCCCATCCTCCCCGGAATCTTTCCTATCCAGGTGAGGGTCCCAGGAGGGCTGTCCTAGCATAGGCCAGGGCCCTGGGGTGAAATTGAAATGCCAAGTTCCTGGTAAAGTGCTTTGATGCTCATTGGATTTCCCTTCCGACAGATGCTCCAGTCCTTGGAAAATGCCACCCCATTTTGATTACCTCGTCTCCCACCCTCCCAGACAGCAACAGGGGCTGTTGGAGGGGCCTGCTGACAAGTGTCACTAAAGGGGATTATCACTGCCATTATAAATCTTGGTTAAGTCAATGTGTTCCAAACTTGGCTGTCATCAGAATCATCTGAAAAGCTTTTTCAAAATGTAGGTTTCCAAATCCCATGCCTAGAGGTTCTGATTTAATAGATCTGAGGTAGGGCCTGGGAACTTTCACGTTACTTAAGTTTTACAGGCCGTGCTGATGATCAGTGTGGCTTGGGAACCACTGGCCTTGATGCCCACTATGTTATCAGTAAAGACAACTAGGGGCAGAAGGGCTGGCTCAGACCAAGGGCAGGAATGCCGTGGGCAGCCGGTGTGCTCTGTGGAGTGGAAGAAGCAGGACAAGGCGAGGGCACGTGTACAGTCTGGTCTGACCTCCCGGAGTCCCTCTGTGCCACGCGACAGTTGGCCAGGAGGCCTGGCAGGGATGGGGAGGGCAGTAAGTATTTCGGGGAAGAGACGGGCTGGGAGATGGCACCCAGAGTCCCCTGTGTCTCGGGCAGGGCTACCACTCCCTTCGGCAGCTTGTGAAACTGTCCAAGCTGGAGGTACCGCAGCAGATCAAGGACGTGATCGAGCCAATCAAAGACAATGACGCTGCCATCCGCAACTATGGCATCGAGCAGGCTGTGAGCCTGTGCCAGGAGCTTCTGACCAGTGGCTTGGTGCCAGGCCTTCACTTCTACACCCTCAACCGCGAGATGGCCACCACAGAGGTGCTGAAGCGCCTGGGCATGTGGATTGAGGACCCCAGGTGAAGCCGGCGGCCCCGAATTCAGGCCTAGGAGCCACAGAGGAAGGTCGGGTGGGCGGAGAAGTCAGTAATCACAGAATGAGCATGCCCTAGTGGTGCTGGCCGCCACAGCCGTCCAGAGGGAGGTCTCCCCTGGCTAGCGGTACACTTAGGGTTCCGCCTCAGGGCGAAGTCCATGCACAGAGTGAGAGCAGAGGTCTCCATCCGGCTCAGTGGTGCGCCCCTCTTTCCTGCGTCCTCTGGCCAGTTGCTCATTCGTTCTGTCTCCATTCTCCCCCAGGCGTCCCCTGCCCTGGGCCGTCAGTGCCCACCCCAAGCGCCGGGAGGAGGACGTGCGTCCCATCTTCTGGGCCTCCAGACCAAAGAGTTACATCTACCGCACCCAGGAGTGGGATGAGTTCCCCAACGGCCGCTGGTGAGCACCTGCTGGGGACCCCGTAGCAAGTGCGAGTGTGTCCTGTTTCTTGGGAGGGAGCTGAAGGGAGTTTGCCTGCTTCTCTGCATGCTTTTTGGGGAGCAGTCAGGGACAGGATTCGCAAGAATGCCCCCGGGTGGGTGGGGGCGCCTGTCCCTCCATCAGGAGCCCCGGGTCAGGAGTGTGCCTTGCCCTCCGGGTGCCTCCCTGGCCAGGGGCAATTCCTCCTCTCCAGCCTTCGGGGAGCTGAAGGACTACTACCTCTTCTACCTGACGAGCAAGTCCCCGAGGGAGGAGCTGCTGAAGATGTGGGGGGAGGAGCTGACCGGGGAAGAAAGCGTCTTTGAAGTCTTTGCCTGCTACCTCTCGGGAGAGCCCAACCAGAATGGCTATAAGGTAAGGGCCGCTGGGGCCCTGTTAGGTCCCCTGCCCTGTCTCCCTGTGGGCCAGGCCTCGGGGCTGGGACTCATGCCGCCCCCCGTTTACCTAAGCCTCACCTCTCTCTGGACACAGCACCTCAGCAAAGGGAAGGGTGAGCTGGGAAGTCCCCGCCTGGGGTGCCTGGTGACCGGCGGAGCCCGCAAGAGGGAGGAAGCCGGGCTGCCGGGCGTGATGCCGCCCCAGCCTGGCCCGCCCTCTCTCCCAGGTGACTTGCCTGCCCTGGAATGACGAGCCCTTGGCGGCCGAGACCAGCCTGATGAAGGAGGAGCTGCTTCGAGTGAACCGGCAGGGCATCCTCACCATCAACTCCCAGCCCAACATCAACGGGAAGCCATCCTCCGACCCCATTGTGGGCTGGGGCCCCAGTGGGGGCTATGTCTTCCAGAAGGTGTGGCAGGGACACATGGGGCTTCCCCACCCCGGCCGGCACCCAGGGGTTCCCCAGAGAGGAGGACAGAGAAGCCTTCCTCTCTGGGGTCTCTTTATTCTGAGAGGTAGAGCGGATAGGAGCTCATGCTCTATGTCAGGCAGACCTGGGCAGGCGGGTCGCGTGACCGCTCTGAGCCTCAACTGCCTCTTCTGCAAAATGGGGATAGATCCCGTCACGTTCTGGGGCGGAAACGTGACAACGCATGGGAAATGCTTAGCACATGGGAAGAACGCAGGAAGCGTTCACGAAATGGAACTGTTACTGGTCTCCTGAGTTGGCACCTTTCTCTAGAAAGGGGTGCTAGAGGTAAAATTACATTATAAACTAAAGCCCGTGGGCTCTGGAATTTCAGAGACGTGGATTTGAGTACCAGGTCTGCTGCACCTTCGGTGCGGCCAAGTTGCTCAACGTCTCTGAACCTAGTTTCCCCATGTGAGAAATGGGGACAATAGTGCCCCCACTCGACCCCTGACAGGCAGCTGGGGTTCAAGAAGCCCTTGCCATCAGTGTTACCGTGAAGGGAGCGGGGATGCTGGGATGAGTCAGGCCTCTCTCCCACGTCTCAGCTCGTCAGACTGGGCCTCCCGTCCGTTTTCTGAGATGGCTTCTCCGTGGAACCTTCCCTCGTGGCGAGAGGGGGGCGGGTGTGCCTCAGACCTGTCCAGACTGAAACGCCTCACATACCTGCTCCTGTCCCCCTTGCCTGGATTCATGATGCGATCCGCACGGCCACGCTAGTCCCAGTGCCTCAAGTCCAGCCACACGCGTGGGCGTGGGTGCCTCCCTGGGACGGCCCAGAGGGCCAGCGCCCCGTGTCACGGAGCACGTGGTGTGCTTAGCAGCCCACGGAGCAGGGTCGTGCGAGGCCCGGGGTTGATGTGGCGGTGCCCGCCCCTCTCCCGCAGGCCTACTTGGAGTTCTTTACTTCCCGTGAGACGGTGGGGGCGCTTCTGCAGGTGCTGAAGAAGTATGAGCTCCGGGTTAATTACCACATCGTGGATGTGAAGGTAGGCCGGCTTCCGGGGTGTCGACAGCACTCAGCAGGCCCAGACACCCAGGGCTGAAGGCACCACGCTTACTCCTCCACTCGGCGAGCGCCGAGCGCCGAGCCCTGGCCAGGCACGGAGGAAACGGATACATGTACACAGAGCCAGGCCCCTGCCCTCAGCTCAGAGCGCCCCCAGCCTAGTGAGGGGGCCCAGTCAGTGGGTAATTACAAATGCAGCTGCACTTTTAACAATAAAGTTCAGTATGGGATGCTGGGACCCAGGGGAGGGACGTCTGACCTGGGAGGTCAGGGAAGGCTTAGAGGGGTCCCGTGTGGCTGGCTGGACTCTTTGAGGACAAGGGCAAGGACATCGCGGGGAAAGGGCAGGGGGTGTGCGAAGGCATTGTCTGCACAGCCCGTGGCGACGCCGCTGAGTGGGTTCAGAGTCAGGCTAAATATCGACTGTCCGGCTTGGAAGCTGGGTTTTCCCCTAAACACAGGAAGGAGCCTTTCCCAGCAGCAGTCGCTTGGCTCCGTGTTTTGTCGTCAGCAAGTCAGGGCGGACGGTGGTGCGAATGGTAGGGCCAAGGAAGACTAGAGTCAGAGGCCCCTGTGGCAGTCCGGTGGCAAAGACAGGCCCGGCTGGGCAGCCACGAGGGGACGGATTGCAGAGTAAGCCGGCAGGAGCCACCGGATGTGGGGGATGGGACTTGGGGGGAGTGGAGCTTGGAGGCTGGGAGGAGGAAGGAAGCAGCCTGTGGCCTCTCACAGAGTGGCAGAGCTGGGAGGGGCAGGTGGAGGGGATGGAACAGAGCGCACTCCCGGTGGGTTGGGTGAGCTGGGTTCGCAGGCACTGGAAGGTCTGCAGGTGTCTGTGCCCAGGTCTGTTCTGACCTCCTCCCCCACCACCCCCCCACCAGGGTGAAAACATCACCAATGCCCCTGAGCTGCAGCCAATGCATTCACTTGGGGCATCTTCCTTGGGCGAGAAATCATCCAGCCTACAGTGGTGGATCCTGTCAGCTTCATGTTCTGGAAGGTAAGGATGCTGGGAGCGGGCCTGCCCTGCCCACCTTGCAAACCTTAGGCTGGCAGTGGCAGTGGCAGCCCAGGGCTGGTGGACTCTGCCTCGACGTGTTGATTTCTGGGCTGGGGGATGGGAGGTGACCCTGGCAGTGAGCCTCGTTTCTGTTCCGGGAAATGTCCTGTTGGGCAGCATGGAGGCCCTTGGGGCGCTGAGCGTGGAGCCCTGACCTGCGGCTCTGTTAACCTTGCCCGTGTCTCTGTGTGTGTGTGTGTGTGTGTGTGTGTGTGTCCGCACGTGCCCGTGTGTGCAGGATGAAGCCTTTGCCCTGTGGATCGAGCAGTGGGGCAAGCTGTACGAGGAGGAGTCTCCGTCCCGCATGATCATCCAGTACATCCACGACAACTACTTCCTGGTCAACCTGGTAGATAACGAGTTTCCGCTGGACAACTGCCTGTGGCAAGTGGTAGAAGACACGTTTGAGCTTCTCAAGAGACCCGGGCCAGAGCAGGAGACAGAGACCCTGTGATCCCGTGCCCTGATGTTCTTGGCCTGAGGCCACTCGTGTCCTGCCTTCCTCCTCCCCAGTCCTGGTTTTCCTGGGGACCCCTCTTCTCCTTCATCTCTGGCCTCCACTCCTCACACGGTGATGGCAGCTAGACTTGGTGTGAGGCTTGCCGGCTCCGGCTGGACCTGAGTCCGCCCCACGTCGGAACGGGGCGTTTGTGGCTCAGCCTAGTGCTCTTTGGTGAGAAGCACCCCCCTCCTGCAGAGGACCGTGGGGGGGGTGGAACAGCATCTTCTCTGAGAAGGAGAGAGGATGGTTGTTGCCGACGGAGGCCTCGAACCAGGGCAGCCCCTGGGAGCCGGCCTGGGGCTGCCAGTGACCTTGCACTTGGGACCCACGGGGATGGTAAAGCGAACCTGGGTAGCGGGCACGGGCAGTGCTGCAGAAGAGACATAGAGCGAGGGCGCTGCACCCTCCTCTCCGAGGTGTTGGCCGCCGGGCACTTAAGTGCTCATGGGCGGGAGGAGCAGACCACTGCCCTGCCCACCTGCCCGTCTGGCCGCGTCCCAGGCCTCCGGACAGACCTTGGCCTGAAACGTGATAGCGTGGGCATTTCTTGCCAGCGTCTGCCTGCGAGCCAGCCGGGCTTTCACCTTTCCACAAGGCTGCTTTTTGAAAGAGCCATTTCTATGTTCTGGCGGCTCAAGAGGGAAAGTGTCTCTTAAAGGTTGAAGGCATCTATACCCTTCTACTTGGTGGAGCCCTCGGCCTTTCCTCCCCCCAACCCCCGCCATGGAGCGCTACCCTGCCTATTACCGTCAAGGGCAAAGATAAGGCTCCACTGAGCAGGATTTCTTTCTTCCTGGCTTATTTTTTTAGATGGGACCTTTTCCTGCCAGCTGCTCTGCTCCCTCCTCCCCCCCTTCCCCCCCCCCCCCCACTCCCTCGCCATTCCCAAAGCTGTCTGCCTGGCCCTGCTCCCCTGGAGTCAGCCCTCAAGCCCTGCTGCTCAGGGACAGTGACCAGGGGATGCACAGAGGCTGGTCCCTGTCCCCGTCCCTGCCTGCTGGTCTTCGCTGGCTCAGCAAGGGTGGGGGTGGGTGTCCAAAGAGCAGCCTGATGGCAGAAGAGGCAGGCACAGTCGTGGGTTACCTACCCTCTTCCTTCCCAGGGTGGCTGGTTGAGGCAGAGGGGCAGCCCTTAGGAGAGGCTGAGCAAGAGAAGCAGCTAGGACCAAGGAGGGTGTTTTATTGTCCTTCAGAGCTCTGTCCCCAGGCTGTGGGATGAGTGCCTGGTGGCTTGAGCCTGCACTCCCCGGATGGGTGGGACGTGGTTCCTTCCTTACGAAGGCTGGGCACAGTTCTGTTTTTCTTTCCATGGGAACAAGTCACAGCTGCAGCTGGGCCCCTTGCCCCGCCCACGTCCACCCCAGCAGCTTCCAGCCTGCTCCCAGGGTCCCGATGCCCGCTTTGCTCAGGGGGTACCGGGCTGGTGGTGGCTCCTCTCTTCCGGCCCCTGGCTGCCAGCTGTTGGCACCACTTCTCAAAGGCCTGGAGCCAGAGAGGAGAAAGGAAAGGCTATTTGGCCCCCTCCTGGGTCAGTGCTGTCTGTGCTAGGCGAATGCCTGTGCTCAGCTCCTTCTGTCCCCAGAGGGAATAGGAGATCCCTCCCTCCGCCCCAGCTACTCAGCCGGCTCTGCCCCAGGCCAAATGCAGAGGCTCCGAACAGCTCTGATCTGTGATCTGGGGAGCTGTGTTCTGAGTGGGGCAGATGAGGGAGTGGGCACCCGGGGACCCATACCCAGCGTGGGCTAGCGTTGAGTGGCAGCTGTGCTGTGACTGAGCCTTGTTCCCACGCTGAGTGGCAGGGTAGGACTGGGCCGAGCACATGGCCAGCAGCCAAATCAGAATCCAAGCTGTGTTTTCTCAAAGGAACTGACTCCTCCCCGGGAAACGAAGGGACCCCCAGCTCAGAAATGTCCAGGTGTGGCCCTAGTTTGGGAAGTCCTGCCGGGGCGGGGGGTACCCCCCAGTACCTGGGAAAGGACCCGGCCGCCTTCCTGTTGCTGCAGTCGCCGAGCCGCCCGCAGCCGCAGGACTCGCTGCCGCCACACGCGCCAGGCCCGCTTCAGGTGCCACTGCCTGAGCTGTGGGGACAGGTGGTGAGGCCCCAAGCTGGCCCGCCGCCCCTCTGCCACGTCTTCCCCCTACACCCCTGCAGCACAGGACAGAGGGGCCGTGATGGGGCGGGGACGGGGGTATCCCCTGAGGTGTGTTAACGCAGATCCCGTCGCCTGACCCCACGGATGCAGACCAAGATGCTTCGGGAGACTTCATTTCTAGGGGTTAGGGTTGAGGTGAGATGAGCTGAGAGATCAGCACAAGGCTGGGAAGGGGGGGGGGGG